TCACATTCAAGTATGAAGTCGTGCAAAATAGCCCTTTTATTGAAATTCTCATAAATTTCCTTGAAAGCTGAATGTCCTCTGCTCCTCCTCATGCTTATTCAGATTCCCAGCCCCGCCATTTCCCCGTATCTCAGAATTCTACAAAGTGAAAAGCTTCTTATTCCCCTCGAACAATTGAAAAAATAAGATTTTTGAATAAAGATTTTCCCTTCGCACGGATATCTGCAACCTCACTTTATGACAGTATACAGCTACTTATAATACGTGACATATTATTATTGAACAGAGTAAATCTGACGAATCTAAAATGATTATTTTTTGTTTGTTACATAACAGATTTTGTTTATTTTCTCACCATGGGAGATTCCGTTCTGATGACTAGTCTGTTTCTCACTAATTCGTTTACTACATAAAGTTAATCATGAGAAGTGGAATTTATTAGGAGTGTTACGTTTTCCTGGAATTCTCCCTCTATTTGATCGGCTTAGGCTTAATTATAGGAATATTTTTGGCCATCGCCACTGGTGTACTGAGAATTTCAGCGCTCTAATTAGAATTATTCATTTTCAACCTGGTTCCAGAGGCTTACCTCGCGTCCTACTCCACTACCATAGCTGTTGTGAAGTTGTCTTTCTCAGGTATAACTTCTGCAAAATTTTGGCAAATAGTAATGGTACTATATTGGTCGCAATACGTATTCATATTTACTAATATTGTTTCTTTTCCTCTCTATTTGCTAATTATGGTTGTATGCGTGAAAGAGTATAAACACAATCCTGCACAGAAGGCATTCAACCTACTTGTTATCTCTCAGGTAATACTGCGAAAGATTTGATTTTTAATATCCGCTGTGTCGGAATAACCTTCAATTTTCTGATAAATAAATGAAAAATAAAGTGGCTGGTGTTGATCAATTCGGTGTTGGGATGCTCTCCTGCGTTTGTCTTCCATTCAGTATCGTAATGGTGTATCGAATGGTCTATACAGTGAATTGCAGTGGCCAGCCGATGCACAAGTCAGCGCTTTCATCTCGTACACGAGCCCGGTACCAATTTCACGACGCAGAGGATTGGAAAAATCGGTGGGCTTAGGTATCGTTCGGGGATTCGATCTCCGGATTAAGCTTGGGATAGTAAGCCATCTGCCACTACGCCACATCGACCAAAACATTGAAATAATCTAATACATAGTATAGCGCCCTTTGCGCGCTAGACGTGCTTGGTTGGATGTCTCACGAGGAACTACCGTACGCCCCGACGTTTCCAGGAGCAGCATAGGCCGAAAGGAACCGCCGCGCCGACGCCAAACCGTCAGTCTGTGAGTCAAAGTCGTAATGAACCCCTTCAGTCATCCTCATCTTATGATCTTGAATGATGTTTGCCTAGCCCTCCATTGAACGTCCTAGTCATTTCCCAGAGTCAGCCATCAGACTGAAATCTGGTGGCTCAATGCTTATAAGTCACATCAACTTCTGCCGACGCTGACTATGAACGCTGTCATCGCGATCTGTGTATTACATTTGAGTAATAAATTAAGGAGCAAGGTCAATTCTGTTACATAATTACCTATGCCATAATTTATTATTCGCTAGGGTGTGATGGATATTCTGCTAATGGCAAGCTACTTCACTTTCGGAACATTACGTCTATCAGAGTTAGTAAACGGATTCTTCTGGACTTATAAAGACTACAAAATTGCAATGTGGTGTTATAATCAAACCTATGTATCGTCTATATTACGGTGCTTCGGAGTGCTCGTAATTTCATTTCAGCGATATATTTCTCTATGTAAAAGTGTTAACCCAACACTACAGGTAGCCACTCGATTTAAACTAATTTCACTAATCTTTTGAATAAACGAATTGTTTTTAGCTTATCAACACCTCATACCGCTGGATATTACCTATGATGCAGTGGACCGTACCAATACTGTATTCGATTCCGATACTTATTTTAAGTAATGCAACCTTCAAAGCTCCAGATAATATGGAGGTGTTGGTTGATCACAAAGATATTACGGTGGGTGTCCTACAGGGAATGTTGGCTGTACTGTAATCAGTTTTCTATCAATACATTCAATGTCAAAAAGGAGGCTTCGACTGACCTCAAAACTCAAGAATGAACCTAGAAGCTGCTTTCTAAGTCTTTTAAGAAAGTCGTGCATAGGGAAGGAAAACAGACGAACCCTAAGCCATTAGAACATGAAGGAATGGCATGAACAGATGCGGAATAGCTACTAGCGAATTCAAGCAGCTAGGAATTACGTGGTCGATTGTTTCCTTCGGTCGACAACCTCCTGAGATGTACAATATCGGCACTCAGTCCTGGCCAAGAATTCAGATGTGTTATGTTCTGACCTTAGGAGAAACCGCTTGAAAATGACTAGAAAACCCACTGTATAGTAGGCAGAAGGAGCTATTTGGGTTACTCAACCCGTCTCTGCAACCCACACTTCTACATAAATATTACCCGAGCTTATTTTTTGAATTCATTCTCTCACCCATCCATCTTTCC